TCTGGAGAGATTCAGGGTCTGACAGAGACTTGAGACCTCTGGAGAGATTCAGGGTCTGACAGAGACTTGAGACCTCTGGAGAGATTCAGGGTCAAACAGAGACTTGAGACCTCTGGAGAGACTCAGGGTCAGACGGAGACTTGAGACCTCTGGAGAGATTCAGGGTCTGACAGAGACTTGAGACCTCTGGAGAGATTCAGGGTCAAACGGAGACTTGAGACCTCTGGAGAGATTCAGGGTCTGACAGAGACTTGAGACCTCTGGAGAGATTCAGGGTCAAACGGAGACAGTGAACTTTGTTTTCATCAATCTGTGAGGTTTGTGTTCTCGTCTCGCTGATCCTGGAGTTTCAAATGATTTCCTATAAATGTTCCCTCATTGTCTGTTTGCTGTTGTTGTTGTTGTTGTTGTTGTTGTTGTTGTTGTGGGTCTCAGTTTGATCGGCTCACAGCTGTTTCATCATCACGTTGTTGTACGGAGAGTATGGCTCCTCCTCTTCCTCGTCGTTTGGCCCCTCCTCCTCTTCTACATGTAGCCCCTCCCCCTCCTCCTCACCCTCCGCCTCCTCTCTTGGCTCCTCCCCCTTCCGATGTTCTTCTCCTTCTTCTTCTTCTTCTTCTTTGTTGGTGCCGACAGGAAGTGCCCTCTGAGGTCGTTTGGGCACGGCGTAGTCGTCCACGCGGGGGTTGTAGGGGAACTCGTGACCTTTGGGGTCATCGGGGGTTCCCATGACCCTCCAGGCGCCCCCCCGCACCTCCTCAGGCTCATCGTACAGGGAGAGGGGGGTGGGTTTCTGTGAGGGGGGGGCGCGGCCTTCGGGCTCGTCGTAGATGTGATCGATGGAGCCACTGAGGAAGACGTTCCTGATCTTCATCTCGTCGATGCTGTCGTAGAGAGGGTCGTGTTCGGGGGGAGGACCAATCACAGGAGAGGAGAGGGGGGGGGGGAGCGAGGGAGTCAAAGGGGAGGGAATACTCCGGGTCCTTGGGGGGGCGCTTCTCCCTGGAGAGATACACACATCCTTTACTCAGGTAGAAGTACACACATCCTTTACTCAGGTAGAAGTACACACATCCTTTACTCAGGTAGAAGTACACACATCCTTTACTCAGGTAGAAGTACAGATACTGGTGTTTAAAAATACTAGAAGTAGAAAGTACAGGTATTTGTGTTCAACATGTAAGAAGTAGAAAGTACAGGTATTTGTGTTCAACATGTAAGAAGTAGAAAGTACAGGTATTTGTGTTCAACATGTAAGAAGTAGAAAGTACAGGTATTTGTGTTCAACATGTAAGAAGTAGAAAGTACAGGTATTTGGGTTCAACATGTAAGAAGTAAAAGTAAAAAGTAGTAAATAAGTATTAGAGTAAAGTACTGATACCAGAACAATGTACTTAAGTACAGTACCGAAGTATTTGTACTCCACTACTTCCCATGTTTACCTGCGGGGGCCGCGGTCCACCGGCAGGGCCACCTGAGAGTAGGTCTGGTCCGGGGGGGGGGGCGGCGTCGGGCAGCGGGCAGCTGGAGATCATCTTCAGGTTCTTCCGGGGCCCCGGGGGCCCGCGGGGGTCCAGAGACAGACTCTTTACTGCCGTCAGGGTCTTATCCACAGGGGGCTCCAGACGACACTGAGGAGACACAGCAGAATATTTATTAAATTACTATATTATATTAAAGGGTACTGTATGGAATTATATTACATTATTTTCTCTGACTGGGGGATCCCAAGGCGCTCCCAGGCCAGAGAAGAGATATAATCCCTCCACCTGGTCCTAGGTCTACCCCTCGGTCTCCTCCCAGCTGGACGTGCCTGGAACACCTCCCTAGGGAGGCGCCCAGGTGGCATCCTTACTAGGTGGCATCCTTACTAGGTGGCATCCTTACTAGGTGGCATCCTTACTAGGTGCCATCCTTACTAGGTGGCATCCTTACTAGGTGCCATCCTTACTAGGTGGCATCCTTACTAGGTGGCATCCTTACTAGGTGCCATCCTTACTAGGTGGCATCCTTACTAGGTGGCATCCTTACTAGGTGCCCGAACCACCTCAACTCCTCCTCCCTCCCTGATGACTGCACCTCTCACCTTATCCCTGAGGGAGACGCCAGACACCCTGCGGAGAAAACCCATCTCGGCCGCTTGTATCCGTGATCTGGTTCATAATTTGGTATTATGTTATATTATTTAATGTTTTATATTGCATAATATCATATTATATGATGTTAAATTATATTCTATAATTTTCTATTATATTATATTATAATTTATTTATGTATGGTAGACTTTTGACTCCAGCAGTATTCTCCAGTATTGATCATGTACTGACTGACACTGTCCAGCAGGCGGAGCTGTTTCACTATTTAAATATTATACTGTTATATATCTTTAGATATTTTCACACACACACACAATTTCATGGTGGGCCACATCAGCATTATGGCTGCACTCAAAGGGCCGGTTGTAACTTTAAGACTATATAAATATACATATATAACATAT